TGGCTAATAAAGCATCTAAATTATTGCAGATTGTACATTGTACATTAATTGCTGAAAGGAAGATAGATTACATGTAAGTATAGAGAAGTATTAAATATATTTTGTCAAATCGACGAATAATTTATATCGACGAAATGGTATTTATATCGACATTTGAAGTACCTTAAGCAAATTTCAGTAGAGTTTGCTTTGCATTTATTCTTTGGTATTTCTTAATTGAGCACATCAGCTTTTTATATCCTTATCTTCATTTATTCATTCAAAACATGTTATTCATGTCTGGATGCGAAAATTCTAAGTGTACGTGTTGATTCGAAAGATATATTCTAAATATTCTCTACAGAAGCAAACAAAGAACCATTTCAGCATTCGTTCTAGAGATTTCTAGAAAACTAGTCTATAACCGCCTTACAACTGGAAGCAAATAACTTGCCACGGTTTTATAAAATCAGCAGCAATGTTAAGTATTGATATTGTAACATAAGATTAAACATTCAGATTAAATGACAAATATATAAAATGGTAGGTTCTATTAGGCAAGAGTCATGAGAATAAATGTCTCTGGGCAAGGTCTACGAGACCTTCATTGCTACCTGAAGTCGCATTATTTTAAGTATATAATTATATCAGAAATAAAACAAACAAGGGGTATTAGATAATCTTCACAACGGAGACAGCTCGACCAGGGAAGATGAATGTCATTGCAGCATTTTAATGAGGTGTCCAGTAATTTCGTGTGGTGTTATTTCTTTTACCATTAAACCATTTAAATATATAATTTATTTTCACATAAATATCATTTATCATAATTTAAATAGTTTACGTAGACTCATTGGGACTTAAAAAACATTTATAAATTTAATATGTAGTTCACCAGATTTCAATTTATCGTTGTAATAAATTTCACGAGCTTTTCTAATCACAAAAGATTCTACTATCAACGTTTTTTAAAGTAATATCCTGCAATTGATACATTAATGTCCAATGCTATGAGTTATTTGCTTAGCATTCAATGAGAGAAGTCCTTCCACACATTTATGTTTATGCATCGTATATGCGAAGTCTCTGTTCACCCTTGTATTCTCGCCTTAAAGACCTATCTTGGTCCTTGATAGCATTCCTTATTGTAATTCAGTTTCTCAACTTTATTATTCAAATTCACTGTACTTTATTTATAAAAGTAATCAATGGCCTCAGAAAATCAGGAAATATTGTTTTAGAAATGATGATAGATTAAAATTAATTCGTATTCCTAGAGAAAAATATTTAACTTCATTAAAATATGACTCAAAAATATTAATAAATTAGTTTTCTAAGTCCGTTTTAAATAACTACTTAACAACCCGCCTATTGCCTCCAATTGGAGAATCGTATACATCATTAACGTTCTAGAACATTTCATTGTGTTTGCCCGCTTTTGAAACTTTGTTTGTGACGCTTTCACCTTGAAATAAAAATGGGGAGTCTGGTCCAGATTTAGTAGGCTCCGCCTTCGTAGGGCAGAACTTTAACTTGACCTCACATTGTGTATTTTAGTAGTTAATTGGTGAATTAAAATTCAGATTTCTCCCGCAAGAACTGCTATATTTGTTTGTTCATCCCATCTTTGCTGCAATGATAGAATCTTTACGATATGAAATCATTGGAATATTATTTATAATATTCCACAAAATTCTCCTTCTTTATATTGTCTATTTAACTAATACTACGACAGAGAATGATACAGTGCAAATGACGGATTACATACCTTTTTTTAAATGAGAGTGAAAAGTTGAGGAAAATATAACGCGATTCATAATTAATTAACACTCAACGAAATTCCGATAAATAAAGGTGTTGTCTGGTATCAGCTATTGATACCACACACTATCTTTATCGAAATAATAGAAGGTATCTACCTCACCAGCGATCTAATTAACTCAACGAAATGCTTGCATAACTTGATCAAATCTTTCTGGAAATATATTATATATGCTATGGGTACTTCAAGCACCTTCCACGGAAGTTTCCCTCGGAGGCGAGCTGACCTCTTTTCCGTCGCGTGCGGGATGGGTTCGAGCCACTTCTAGGAGCAAAACGAATGAATTAGGAGAGGAGAGCCCAATTGTATTCGTGTCGGACGGAAGTTGCTATCAAAAAGAACCGGTCCTCCATTCATCACTGCTTGTTTATTTCCAGTCGTGACCTCGAGAGTTCAAAAACCGCTACGCACGACGCACGAAGCTCCATGTTCAAAAGTGTGGCAATGGATTCGGCCAGTTCTCCAAAATGGCGGCTACATCCCACTGGTTTTCTAATTTACCGAATTGAGTACAGCGGTCAAGTCCCGTTCTATTTTAACAAACGTGTAGTACTTGTGAAATGTAAATTCAATGATAGTATTATTATTTTATCGTTTATTACTAACAAATACGCAATAACAAACAAACGAATTCTATTAAGCGGTGTTCTACATTTGAAAGTTGTTCTACATTTGAAAGTGTTTCTACAGATTGTGGCTCGCATTCGACGAATACATAGTCCTATACAATTTAATTTGCAGAACAAATGCGTGTTGGTGTATAATGAACTACTTTATAGAATGTATGGTAAATATACGGCGACTAGAGATACCAACCCGAAAATTGCTTGGAATATTGTACACTCTTCATTCTAATTATCCAACAATTTAAAAAAAATAAAAATTAACTTTCATACAAATGCAGGATATTTTCAATGATCATATAACAAGGTTCATGTAAAAATAAAATATTGATATAATAGTATAACATACACAATGTTTGCAAAAATTCTATTGTAAAATAGTTTACGACCGGAATTGACACGTCTGTAGCACCCAGCGAAGTACTTAACCCCCTTCAGTGTACACGTGCACTCGAGCTTGTAAGTTCCTGGACGCCCGGCTCCACTTACGACCATCGTAATGGTGGCGTCATTTGCGTTTTGCGTGCGGCAGAAGGCACGAAAGACTACAAAAAACCGAAGGAGGGTGAGGTCACGGACCCAGCTCGAGGAAGATGAAGACGAAATTACACGCTTACGAAAGACGGTCATGCAGCTCACTTCCCTAAGATTTGTGTTCAAGGGGTCAAGAACATACAAATTTAAACACGTTTGTTTCATTTCGAGCTGAACTATTCTTTGAGATCCTTTTCGACTTCGGAATCTTGCGTAAATATTCCGGTACGTCCAATTAACAGTCTATTTAAAACTAACATTTGTTAATAAAAAGAAAGTCCAAATCACGAGAAGGCAAAAATCTAGGGAAAAGTGACGGTCTTCTGAAAAAAATATTTATTTCTTAATTTTTTACATTATTTTTTATTTCTTTCTTTTTAAATGAACTAAGTTTCATAAATAAATGGTGGTACTGTATCTCTCGAATGATAGTAACGAATTTCTGCTGGTTCAATAAGTAATAGTAATGAATCTCTCAAATATTCTCAGTGAAATATAACTACTAATATTCATTATGTATCATCGCTTCATCCATCAGGTCTGCATTACAAAGTATTTTCAATAGTTGGAATGGTTCACTAATATCTAGTTTATCCGTAACATGTTACTTAAGCCTCGAGCTGTAAATGACACCCGTGAAATAAATTAAATTTGAACAGTAAGCGACATACTTTTTATGAGTATTCATTCTATCAATCATGTGCAAATTCTTGCGCATACACACATTCGACTCAACTGCCAACTTCAATGACAATGTATAAGATTATCCTCCTCCTGCAGAGTCTGTCAAAGAGACTCGCATATCTTTTGTTTGCATTACAGAACACGCTCATTCAGGGGGGCTTATGCTAGTATGCGACTTAACTGTATATCTCAGAAACAACATCGTGAGTGTGATCTTATTGATCCGTTTAATTGTGATCGTTATGGTGAGTGTGATTGGTCTTATTAATCAGTTTAAATAAGTGATGGAGAACACATTAAAATAAAAGATTTCAAAATATATCACGAAGTGACTAAATTATGATATTCATTAAGGATGTCTATAAATGTACCTGTAAATGCGATTTACAGAAGAAAGTGAAATCACGAATTCATAAGAGAAAAAGTGTGTAGATAAAGACCTTTATTGTTACTAAAAGTTGTAAAAATATTTTGGAACACGTAATACACAGGTGTTTTACGTTTTTCATTGTTCATATAATTCATAATGTATATTGTTCCCTGTAATTCACAATGTATCGATTGTGTTCTACCATATCCACAAAAACATTTCTGATGTCGCATTTCAAACGTTCACTCAAACTTAATCCATGTTTCCTCCAGCCTTTGTTCTCTCATAATGGTTCCAGCCTAGAATAGTCTTTAGTCCACACAGTCGTCTCCGCCACTACCGACATCAGAACCCGTATTACGCTTTAAGGCTTTTAAACCCCATCTCACCTCTACCATCGCGGTGACATAGTCGCTGTAGTATTACCACCACTGCCTCTTTCACCACCACAGCCATCGCCGTCACCACTGCCATTGTCAGCGTCACCCCCACCGCCTACATCAGTGCCAGACGTCAACATCATCTCCATCTCCAACACCACCGTCAGTCAGCCTCACCCTCTCCATCTTTCTCGCCGTCGTCGTCGTCCCCTCCACAACGGCGCCGCCCAGCGCACGCCGATTTAGGCGCGGCTTGGGCCGGGCCGCCCCCGCCTTGACGGTGACGCCACCTCCGCTGCCGGCGGGGGGCGGGGCGGGGCGGGGCGGCGCACCTCGCCTTGCCACGCCCTCCGCTGGTCAACGCTCCGCGGCGCCGCGGTGTCAATGCCACGGCGCTTCCCCCATCCCCTCTTTCCTCACGCCACCCCACCTCCTCCCGCTGCTCCTCCTCCTCCTCCATCCACGCGCCCTCATCCGCCTCCTCGCCCCTCCGCTTCCTCCGCCCGCACCCCGCGCCCCCCGCTCCGCTCGTCTCCTCTCCTCTCCTCTCCTCCCGCATCTTCGCTCCGTCCTCTGCGCTCCGTCGTTCCTTTACCAATTTCGCAGCGGCGGTGCCGTGCCGAGAATCCGTATTCCACGCCCTGGCGTCCACGGCGGTTGCAAACAAAAATCAGGCCATTGTGAGTGCAGGATCCGCCTATAAAGGCCGCGACCGCCGCCTCGCCGCACATTCGCCCGATCTCCACTGCGCCGACAACATGACGCGGCAGGTGAGTGGAATGTGATGGTGCTGCTGCGGGTGGTGGTGTAGTGACGTCAGCGGGTCCGTTCGCACGTGCTCGCGCCCGGAACTGCGCACGATTCACCGTTGCACCCGATCGCCCTCGCGTGTGCATTCGTTGTGCATTGCAGTATGTGAAATAGCGAATGTAGGGTAACAGTGATATGTGTTAGTTTGTTGCGTCGTGTTGCGTTGCTCTCGAAACATTCAGCGCGGTGTAGTCCTGGAGTGCAGAGCGCCGGGGCACGCCGGCCGGCAGCGGGCTCTCTTGGCAGCGATCTCGTTCGCTTAGTCACCGGTGTGCACTGCATTGGTTCTCGCCGACAAGATTGTCGTCGAGAAGTTTTCGGTACTCAATCATTTCTTGTAGTTCTTTACCACTTAAAATTAATTGCAGCCTTAAATCGTACGTTGACAAGAATACCTCCTAAGACAAGTAATAGCTAAAGAAAACAAATGCATCTATTTTACAATAAAAAATACTTCCTATGCCTACATACAGTGGAAGTAATGTTGGTGTAAAACATATTTTTCTACGTAATAAATCGTTGGTATACAACATAATTTTCGATTAAAACGCTGCGTTATATTGATTCAAAATATTTTTTTAGTTCGCACGCTTTTTTTGCGAAATATGTAGGAAAATTTCGAAAAAAATAAATTGTAATAATTATTTACATTAACATAAATAAACCAATACTATACACACGACTCATCATAATCTTAGTTTCAACTCTAATGAGTGTTCAAATTATGTACCGAAAAGCTCTGATGCTTGTAAATGAATAAATAATGATAAACTCAAGCTTGGAAAATATAAAAAACAAATAATGAACTTTATAATTAGGTGAGGTTAGAGAATTCCCCGTAACAATATATAAATTGTGTACTTCGTTTCACTGAAAATGCAGATTTAAATCCCCACCTCAAATATATAGTAATACTTTGTTAACATTACATGCAATGTCCGTCTATTGTTTTTTATATTCTTCAGTTCTCAAGTTTATATATTCTTTAGAACTTACGGCCAATTCGTTTCCAAACCGCTTTGTAAGTTTTATTGGTGCCACGTTCCATGTCACTATGAGTTATCAATATCTAAAGAATATTATGGTCCAGAGCAAATTAAACAATTTTCAATATATAAATTCACAACTGAAACTTTTCTTGACATAATTGTGTTAACATTCTCTTAGTTCGTTAAAAATTTTTCAACCCATACACCATCTAATAGAGTTGTTACTGCTAGTGTTTGTTATTGATCTTCATTTCATCAACAAAAATATAAAGTCTTGGTGTTTCTAGGATGTAGTTCGCTCTCCCACTGAATTTCGACTGCGTAGAGCAAAGCAATGTTTTCTTAAACGTTCCCTGGACGAAAAGGATAGGTCTTTCGTATTATATACTATGTTTTCTAAATGTCGTCAGGTTTTTGCTACGTTGTCAACGAAATGATGGAAATAATATGACATATTTCATTTTTAACGGGCCATAAATATATCAATCATTGTCAATGAGATGTGACTAACGGTAACAATATGATAAATAAATCTTAAATGTGTGATCAATAATAATAATTTCCTTAAGCCTATTTTATAAAAAAGATATTCAATCAAATATCTTCACAAAAGACTTTGTTATGAAAGTTGAGATATATACGAAGATAAGAGTCAAAAGAGTCTAAAAGAAGAGTCGATTTTGTTTAAATTTGTTCACTGTAAGTTTTCACGACCCACGTATCAAAGTATACTGTGTAACGTACGCAGTCATTGGATAATTTGAAATATACATGTATTTTCTATGGATATCGTTTTAATTTAATATTGTGTACAGTTATCTGATGCAATCGGATATATAAAATTGAATTAATATAGTAAAATTAACGTTATTAAGAATGACTAAATTAGTTACTTAATTTAGAACACGTTAAATTAACATAAATTCTAAAACAAAGCAGGCTCTGAAGAATGATTTTGGATCTAGTCTTGAATACTATTCATGTATCTTTTACGATCAACGATACAAATAATATATCATTTTAAAAGTTTGCACTTAAAGCAAATTAATAATATACAAAATACCTTAGCCACATATCAATCATTTGGTAGGATATGTTATTGGCATTTTATAGTTTTTGCTGTGTATCTGTATACGATAACGTATACATTATACAAACATTATGTCATGTACCCATTATTCTCATAGTTATATGGTTTGATTCGTTAAAATAAACTTATTTTACCTGCATTAAAATTAAACTCATGCCCAAAAAATCGTATCACATTGGTACGGCGCGTTTTTTTTTTTTTTTTTTTTTTAGCTGCAATTCCTCTTTTTTGCAATCCAAATCATCTTTTCAAGTTGGTTTGCTTAACGCGAACTGGCTCTGGCTCTGGCATTGGTTCATTAAGTACTACATTCGATTGTAACACCCGGGAGATACAGACATCACCAAACGCAACCACCGCGCTCAATCATCTATGACAACATTCGGCAACACCTCATAACGTAGATTACGCAAAATAAAGGCGACGGCGTCGGCAACACCGGCGTGCACGCCGCTCCACTCCGCGCCGCGCTGGTCAGTCAGCGGAGACGCCGGCACGGCGTGTTGCATCCGGCAGGGGCACGGCGCGCACAGTGTGGGGATGAGCTCAAAAGCCGCACGCGGGTCTCACATGATTTGGTCGAAGGATGCGTTAGCGTTGACATGTCAGGAGAATTTAATCAAAATTAAAGGAAAGAGTTCGACTCTTACGACGTATTTTGGAGGAATCTACACTCCCCTTGGAACTTCGCTTGGTACTCTTTAAAACGTGTTGCTGGCCTTTGACCACCTACGCTGCGGCAACGGGCAACAGCACAGAAGTACAAGGATACACTTTAGCTAGTACAGAACAATGTTCTACGGCCTCATAGCGCGCCCTCCGTTTCGGAAACGGTTGAAAGTACTGAGGAAGGAACTTAATATCGAGTCCTACACTCAATGCTTGAGACAGCTATCATTTATCGAAGCCTATCAAACCTTTCAAACCAACGAAGCTCCGGCAACAATTAGTCGCTTAAACAATTAGTGAGACACGGCCTCACTATATAACGCAGAAGACTATCATTCCCCTAGGATATTCTGAGGCCATAGTGCAACACAAAAGACGATTTTGGTATTGAGTAAGGTCCGACGCGATCCCACACCAGCCACTTACACGGAACAGCAACACCAATCTTCGGGTAAAGCGAAAAAAACAACAAAAACATGTTTGTCGGTTTAAATCACGCATTCAGAATGTTGTTGCGGGTTACGGATATATTACACAAAATATATAAATTAACTTTTAGTTGTAAAAATTTGTAAATTACAATTGGGGTCACCGATATATGTTCATTAAAATGAATGTACTGCAGTTCATGTACTGCTTGTACGTAGTGTTCTAACATTTTACACATTTTCAAAATTCCGTTTCAACAAACGTGAGTGGGCGCAACTGCGAGAAGTATAGATCTTGAAAAGGGTAAATTTGTCGAAAACTCGCCATCCTCTCCGATGCACACAAACTAACAGATCTTTTAGTAAAATTAATTTTTGCATTGACATTAAACGATTATTTTTGTAATTAAATGCTTTGTTTGAAGTGCTCTTTTCATATAAAACACGTAATCAAAAGGTGGTTAACTCGAAGTGGGATAAAAGTATATATGAAATGCGTTAATACCGACATGTCTCGTCCGTAGCACGCGCTTGTCTTGCGTGCGTGCTACGCGCTTCGTCGCAGATTCGCGCCCACTGGGCGCCGCGGCGGCCTCTAGCGCTCCGTGGCCGTGAGAGGAGCCCGCAGGGGGGCGGGGGGAGAGGGCCGGCATGCCGATGCGCGGCACGTATTCATAGGCGCGCAGCCGCTATAAGAAGCCGCGCGCAGACCGCGTTGCCCCACAGCTGCGCCTGAGTGCGGCGTCGCCTGGCCTCGCCTCGCCTGGGGCTCCTAACACTGCCTGCCGCGCTCTCGCAGCAGACATGAATTTACTGAGCAATTTAATAGAGTGAAACGCTCCTTTCTTTCTGTTATACATTTTTAATGCTGTTTTATTGTTGTTAATATTTATCATTGATATAGTTTGATTTTCTATAATGTTCTCACTATTGTTAGGTCGAAAGAGTGCATGCGATCTCAGCAGATTTGCTATTTCCTGTGTATATCATTCTTGCTGTTTTCCTAAATTTCTTTCGTGTTTTTTTTTCCTTCTCTTAGAATTTTCTTTTCTTTGTCTCAAAACGCCTCAGAATCAGCTCTATCATTTCATCTCCCATGTTTCTTTTTGTTCTACCTTTTTGTAAAAAATTAACATAATAAATAAACGTAATTACATTGTTGCAATTGAGATAAAACAGCATCTGCGTCTTTCCTTAAAAATGCCGTAATACTTCTATATTACACGGCAACAGGATTTATATGTAATCGCTGTATTATTGCAATAGAAATAGACTCCTTTGCGGTGAAATATGGGCTAACATTTTGATGTGAGTTGTAGGAGGTTTAAATTGTTCGGTTTTTAACATACGAACCGAAAGCCAACAATGTAATAGACTTTGTGTTCTTTGAAAATACACTTAAATCTTTCCAAAATGTACTCGTGATTTTAGAGAAAGAAAATACAAACTACGCTACTTCATTCTACACTAATTTTGAATAACTAGTCAGATATCCCATTCGACTATTCCTATCTTTCTTTCTTTGCTTATTATTCATATTTCAAAAAAGATAATCGCTAATAGTTATTATTTAATGGAAGTTTCCCTTAACGAATTTAAATGAGTAGTACTTCCCTTAACTCAATTTTCTTTTAATGGCCAGTCCATAAATTAATAAAATACAGATAAGTCCGAAATTCATATATTTTCTGAGTCGTACTATATTCTATCTAAATGGGCAGTGCAGGACGCATAGATGCGAATAAGCTATTTACGTCAAGAACGTTATACGAAATGAGTTTCTTATCATCACAAAAATCACAATCAACAAAACAAAAATCACATAACATCAAAAAAACATCATATTCTGGATGGTGGTAGTTATAGACATTGTATATTATTGTTATAAAATTATTTGAATTTCTAAGTCAAGTGATGTATTATTTTTGCAAGAATCTTCGAGCTTTTTATTTTAAGGGGTACATTTCCTCAATACATTTTTTTATTGCTTTACCACATTACTACAGCTTCGAAACTTCAAAATTTAGACCATCTGTAAACATATGAACAGTAACATATGAGCAGTCCTTTTATTCCAGTAAACATGATGTACATGTACGTATTTAGTACTTTGCAATATTGTTTAATACTATAATTAAATGAAGATATTTACACCAGCAGTTAAAGTTCAAAATGACTTTATTTATTAATGTTTCATCCCGGTTATTGCAAATCTCTAGTGTTCGGAGAGTGAAAGTTGTGAAGAAGGCAAACATTTCCAGAATTATAAGCTTTTTGGACTTAGTCAAATATTTAATAATTACTGGAACATAATGGCATGGGGAACGTTTACCTTGTCCAACTCAACAGCTCAGTTTTAAAATGAAGGCAAACAGAACATCTCAGCTCATTCTCGTTGTCTCAAGTCGATTATTTCTCGTTTTAACTCCGCTTGTTTATTTCAATAGGATATTTCCATGATTTCTTGGAGGGAAGTTACATGGAAATTTCAATATTTCTTTGGAAGTTTTCTTTAACATTTGAAGAAATTTCTTGAAACCGAACATCACAAAAAACGAAAATACGTCTTCTCTCAAAACGGTTCAAGAACTTTCCACAGATGTTCTTCTCATGATACGAATGTAACTTTTAATCAAATAGTAAGTGTTATTCCATTCCAAGAAACTTCATGTATTCTTCTTAACTCTTTTAAAAGAATCTAAAAAATGAGATAATTTCGATACAATAGACAATTCTAGTATTCACAGTTTATTGACAGAGAAGATGAAGAAATCTTTAAATAAGATTCTACAAGTCTGCAAATTTATTCCATTTTTTATTCAACAGCAGTGATGCAATATGTTCGTAATTAAACGTTGGTCAAATTTCTTCAAAGTGGGGGTGTTCCAACCTTCAAGATTTCATTTCTCCTATTCCACTTGTCTGTATGTCTAAGTTATCCATTGGGTTTTTTATGCTAACTTCTATTCTATCTGTCAGTTTGAGGTAATGATACGGTTATTGTTCTTCAGATATTTTTTAAATTATCTACTATGAACTCAATGAAGTTTTGAACTCTGCAATTGGACGCATGTACTTATTCCACTGCCTAAAGATTGTTCTACTGGAATGAGCGAAATTATATATACCCTGGCGTCGCAGTAACAAGATTTAGATTGTTTATATAGTTAATATGTTTTATATAATAGTTTCTAGTAGAGAAAATGGACAAATTGAATAATTCAATTCTTTTCAGTAATTTAAAGTGTTTTTCTACTAATACATGCGGAAATTGAACCAGACTCATTTGAAATCAAAAGAAATAAGCACTGACGCTAAAAAGGGAAAAAAGGCAAATAAAGAATAAAAGGCAATCATTAAAAGCATGAAACAAAAAATACACAGTGCTCCTACTTTTGTAAATAAATCTGTTCGTAGAACTGTGCACATTATCTTCTGTAAGACTATTAAATCAAGAAAAGCGTGAGCAAACGTAAGAGTGTGGAAGGTTCCGGGTCATATTGAAAAGCCAGACCTGCGCAATGGGTTCTCGCCAGTTGGCGCCACTCCAAATTATTGCTTCAGCGTCGCATCGAGGAGATAACCTCCGCATGAGCGACGGCCCCGCCGCAACGCGCGCGCACGAGCCTTCGCCGTTTGAGCAACGTGAGCGGCGTTCCGCTGCGCAGGCAGACGCCTCGCGGCCCACGCGGCCCTCGCCCCCCCCACACACACACACACACCACCGTTCGAAGCGGACTGTACTCCCGACAGCATTCCGGGCTTGGTTAATTGTCAATGCACCAGCAGATAGAGGAGTTAATGAATTATACTACGCCATTTGGAGGGAGTGTTGAAGTTTGCAATTGCTTCCTTCACACAACCAGAAAAGGCTACCCAGAAAGTTCTAAAACACTAACTAGCTCCGCAACTCATTTCAGAACACTACTGATAGAAATACTCAGCATCACTCATATCCTGAGATATTTTCTATTGCCTCTGCGAAGAGTCTATAACACCTTTGAAAAAGTTACAAATTGCAATATAGGATATTGAGCCAGGGTTCTTGAGAACCGAAAGGCAACATAAGTCATTTGTGGTTTTCCCTCTTACGACTTGAAGTTTAATGTAACATTTCTTATTCTTCTATCCTAGATGCGTATTCTTATTTGAATGATGGTGACCAAGAGCAACGAACAGATATTTCATTTTACTCAGTGTGAAATTAAGTTATATGAGATGGTACTACGTTCTAATTACGAGGTAAAAACAATTCTGCATCCTGAGCGGAAACAGAAATAAAAACACGGAAAGAGTATAGCCATTTGCACTACTAGGTAGACCAAGTCACCCTCAAGTATTTTAAACATTAATAGAAAAATATATAGTTTATGAAAAGGAATAGAATATCACGGGGACCTTGAGCTTCATTTACAATTGTATTCGCATTGTAGTAAATTCATAAATCCCATTGGAAAGTTCAACTTATTTCATTTCTTGTCCATTGCCAAGCTCTTAGTCATTCAGTAACATAACCGGGGTAAAAGCTGAATTCAGACAGATCATGCAATTACAACTCTCCATGAAAAAAATTAACTCTTGATGGGAATAAAAAACTTTGAAATGGAAACTAAGTCTTCAAGAAAAAATTCGTGTATATAATGAAAAATAATTTTTAAGTAACAAATAAGTGCATAACCTCCATTACGTAGAATGAAAAAATTCGGAAAGCTGATAATGACATACTTAATATAAAATTATGCAACACCATTTTATTGTCACAGACATTCTTGTGTAACCTCTTTTAAATGAGTTTCTTGAGTCTGGACTAGCAACTACAAAATGTTGTAGAACAAATGTTAATTATGCAACACTAAGATATTAGTTATATTTAAAATGTATTTGCTGAAGTATCCACATATAAAAAATGCATATCAAAATCAAAGAAACAATATGATTTAAAAATAAATGTATTAATATCAACATAAAATTAGAAAGATTTTCATAAGAAAAGTACTACATAAGTTCTCTAAGGGGGTCTTATTGATACAAGATTCTACTTAATGCAACTATTATTGAAAACCCTCATATTTTTAAATATATTTCCACAATTTTTCTTACTCATCCGTATTACAATAAGGCTATTTAAATGTAATTTAAAAAGGACGTGAAGTACGATATCACAAAAAATAATAGTGACCCTAAAGTATGGCACAGACATTCTTGTGTAACCTCTTAAGTGAGTTCCTTGAGTCTGGACTAGCAACTCCAAAATGTTGTAGAACAAAGGTTAAATTTACACTTTGCGTGTGTTGCAGGTCAAATCACGCGCGGCCGTGCTGCGGCTGCTTCTCCTGGCGGCGGTGGCGGGAAGCTGCACCGCGAACCCCCACCCGCGCCCGCAAACCTACTACATCACGGGCGCCGCGCCGCACGCGGCCCCTGGCGTGGTGCTGCTGCAACCCGCGTTGCAGCCCGCTCTTCAGCCGGCCATCCAGCCCGCACTGCACCCGTTCCCTGCGTGAGTACACGCACGCCGCAAGTTAAACACGACCAGTAGTCGGAATGGAAACAGACGGGTTTTCATAAACAAAATCATCTCAACAATCATTACGTGGCTTTCTTCGAGATATGCAATTTTCATTAATGCCTGGAATTCGACAATTTACCCTCAGAGATGTAATACTAAAGGCGGCTCCACACACGCAGCATTCGCCAAGCAGCGGGCTACTGCTTGCCCAATCCCGAACAGCTGTTGTGTTCGACGAATGTTCGTTCCCTTTGATGTGTCCTAAAGACCGACTCGCGGCGGGTAAGGCGAATACCGAATGTTCGGTGCTTGGCGAATCGCAAGTAACGCGTCCACACTACTCCGGATTCGGCGAGCGGTTGCTCGGGATTCGCCGAATGCCGCATGTGTGGAGCCGTCTTAATATAAAGTCACTCCTAAATGAGCATTAAAAAACAATCACTCTCATTAAGGCATAAACATTAAAATGTACTTTCTCAGGACTAAACATAACAAAAAAAGTTCTTTGAGTGTCTTTCACATATGTCAATTCATTTCAATGAACAATGAAACTTTATTATCACATGCAGTCATGCAAACGTATGTATGAGAGTGTTTTATAGTTTTGTTTAACATTTTTATATGTAGGAACATTTGTTTCCATGTGTGAGTACTCGCTTTGTACAAGAGTGTGATGCGTAAGTCTTCATGTGTAAATAATAGTATTGACACGTGTTAACACATGTTTATACGTGGGGTAGACGTTTAAATTGATGAAAAACATATAATAATTACTTTATCTCTATCACAAATCGCCTCTTCAATACAATTTACAGTTATGAACCAATAAAACTCGTTTGTGGATGAGAGGAATTTTTCCTCATCTCCTGAAAGCTCTCAGCTGTCCGGTAAACTCTGAGGTACTGGATATGAGAATTCAGTGGGCTCGTACAAAATGAGATAGGCGGAATATTTGCATTTTCAGTCAAAATCTAAACCGTTTCATTTATTTGCGATTTTTTCGAGATCCTGTTTATCTAACGACACTATAGACACCTCTCAAAAGGCAGAAGGTTGCATCGTTTTCTTCCACTTCCTACGCGCATCGAAATTTGTAATGTGGACTGAGCCACGTGTCTCAAGAGCGAGACTTATCACAGCGCTTGCGCTCGCCAGCGCCTGTCGGGTGACCGAACGGGGGGTGTGGTGCGCAGGCTGGCGCCGGCGCATCTGCTGGTGCGCGCGGACGAGAAGCCGGCGGAGGCGGGCGGCGGCGCGAGCACCGAGAAGCCCGCCGAAGGCGAGGAGGGCTGGACGTCTTGGCTGACGGGCTGGCTGCCCAGCCTGCCCTCGGGCATCGGCGGCGGAGGCGCCTCCACGGACGCGCCCAAGGTAAGTCTCCCCACAACCTCCGGTCTAGCGGCCGGGCCTGGTTCTGACCAGGCCTTTATTAGTGTGGTTATTGACCATTCGTTGCGGAGCCTAAATTTAGGGTGGTAGAGTTTCAACGCGGGTAAAGTGGTATCGGCTATGAGCTTCACTGTGAAAGCAAGAGTGTAGGAAGCTCGGTGCACCACTATGGTGGCTCTCCTACTCCACAAGGCATCCCGTTTCGGAGGGAAAAGTCCCAAGACATGAATACGAATAGCCTCACTTAGAGATCAATGAGGAACGCGCGTTCTCAGAACAGCATCCAGAGCTGAAGGGTTAGTTTGTTTTATCATCGACGGCGGAAGCCGCAAGCGTCATATAACGATCAGAAGTGTCGGTGATTGGAATATTCGCGGGTTCCATCCCGGGCACGTGCCGCAAATTTGCTTCATGCATTAAACATCAGCGAGTCCAAGATTTGCTATCAAGTTTGTAAAGTGTCTGATGTCATCGATCGCTGTGGTTTCTTTAACCACTTTCAGTAAAATCCTATAACATCATAAACAACGCTCTAAAGACCAGGCGCTCTAAAGACCAGGCGCGCTAACCTTCCCCACGTCATACTCAGTCCTATTCTAATAGTACCGTTCCCAACGCAATATTATTTTTTTTTAATTTTTGGGTGTTAAATATTCTTGGAGTGGATTACTTATGAGAAATGTTGGAAATGAGATCCTATAAATAGTATTATATTGACTGTGCGCAACAAAAAAACCTTCATAAGGCATTCATTATGATTTGAGATTATACTGTGCATGAACCAGAAGTTGAGTTTGCAGGTTAGCTTAGTGCAGGACTAACAAGATTACAAATGTATTTCCAGTTATTTAATTTTCCAATAATATTATGAATTCAGAAACATGTGAATTTATTACCCATGAAATTGTACGAACAGAAATAATAGTTTTGTTAAAATCGTATACTTGGCTGATAATCTTTAATTTTTTACAGCTTTTCTTAAATGAAATAAAATAACTACACCATGACGCAAATATTAAGACATATTATAATTAGTTCAAAAAGAAAATATATAACTTCTGAAATATTAAAATACTATAAACGAGAAGAGAGTATAATATTCATTTGATCTCTTTTTTTTTCCTCGAAAAAATGAACATAATTTTGGGCACATGCTCGCAAGGTTTCTTAGTCTCCCTTCTTCATAGACATCTTTTCAGTGAGTATTTGAAGCCTTGGTTCCCTGACTGCGCAGCCCGAGTACACGACGGAGAAGGCGACGGAGAAGCCGACAGAGGCGACGGAGAAGCCGTACGAGGGCGGCGCCGTGGCGCCGGCGGGGGCGCCCACGCGCCTGGAGGA